AGGCAGTCAAACTGAACAAGATGATATTCGAGACAATCTATTACGCTGCAATGGAGACATCGTGTGAGCTAGCACAGGTAAAGGGCGTCTATCCGTGTTTTAATGGATCAATGTATTCAAAAGGAATATTCCATTTTGAGGTTTACGCAAATGGTAGGCGAAATGTGGGGGAACTGGTTTCAGGCATGTGGGACTGGGAAGGATTGCGTGCCAAAATAAGGCAGTTTGGAGTCAGAAACTCACTAACTACCGCCTGTATGCCAACAGCAGGCACGGCACAGGTGGCTGGAAACAGCGAGTGCATTGAGCCAATTCAGTCGAACATCTTCACCAGGAGGACATTTGCAGGAGAATTCCAAATTGTGAACAAGTTTCTGGTTGAAGACCTGAAGAGGCTGAATTTGTGGTCGAATGAGATGAGGCAGCTGATCATCGAATATGACGGGTCCATTCAGCATATTCCAGTGATTCCAGACAACATTAAGCAGATTTACAAGACATTTTGGGAGATGAAAATGAAGAACGTGTTGAGCATGGCGAATGACAGGCAGGCATTTATTGATCAGTCACAGTCACTGAATTTGTTTGTGAAGCAGCCTACGTACGGCGTATTGAGCTCAATGCACTTTTATGGATGGAAGTTGGGATTGAAGACAGGAATGTACTATCTGAGGACATGTCCAGTTGCAAGTGCAATTAAGTTCACGGTTAACAAGGAACTGATCATTAAGACACTCAGCTCAATGAAGAATCAGCAAACGGAAGACGATGAAAATGAAAATGAGGAACCAAAGTGTGAAGGGTGTTCATGCTAGGGAATCAATAAACAGGTTTGCTGCAAAATATGGTATTCTACTAGTATTTATATGAATAGAGATGATTTGGTATCTATATTTGGCATAATTCAGGTATTGTTGCGAAACCCTCATTTCCAATACGGCTTCTGACTAGTTGTCCTTAGGTTTTGACTCCTCAGCCTGTGGCTCAGGGGGTCTCTACCGGGGCTTCACTTTGCGGTTCATCTCGTGCCTCAGCTGATGAGTGTCCATCGTTCACTCTTCTTTAGCTCGGTTATTTAACGACATTATGTCTGTGGTAAAAATTCAGGAAGTTGAGTAGATATTCAACTGATATTGGAGAAATAATCAAAATATTTTAGATAAATCTGGACAGTTTAATAGAATAGAGGGGTGTTGGAGGATATTTGGGGATGTGATCAATATGTTCAACATGATTGTATCACCTGCGTTTGTATCTTGTTTTCTTCATTTCGTGTTAGCATCAGCACACAAGGCGCCTTATTTCGCCTATGAATGGTAACACGGACTGGTTTTGTACCACATTTCTTAATCGCCTTTGTGATGTAATATTTGATCTTCTTTTTTGTTCTTTCTGACATACTTTTCTTAGGAGGAGTCACTGGCTCATTNTGTATCTTGTTTTCTTCATTTCGTGTTAGCATCAGCACACAAGGCGCCTTATTTCGCCTATGAATGGTAACACGGACTGGTTTTGTACCACATTTCTTAATCGCCTTTGTGATGTAATATTTGATCTTCTTTTTTGTTCTTTCTGACATACTTTTCTTAGGAGGAGTCACTGGCTCATTTGACATGCCGGGATTCACCCTGTCCTCGGCTTTGGCCAGCTCTCTCACCTGAATGTATTTCGTAAGTTCAGATACTGTTTCATATGCTTTCACGTACATCAATCTGTTTCTCTCTGATTCTGCAGTACACTCTTTCAGTAACATGTTCTTCTTATCAATATCTGCTTTTAGTTCATCATGTGCAACAAATATCGTTCTGAGACTCTTTTTGGTCTCTTCAAGGTTCTGTTCGAGATCTTTGAGTTGAGCTCTGCTACTTATGAGGTCATAGAGTATAGTATTGCTTTCAGTAAAAACCTGTTCTATCTCCTGAACCTGATCAATATTCTGATCCTGCTTTGGCTGTTCTACGATCTCAGTTGTTTCTGGATCCTTCTGCTCCTCTTCTTCATGAACAATTTCCTTAGTAACCTGGGCCACCCCTGAACCCTGGTTTATCCCTCCATTTTCTAACACGTCATCTGTGTCATATTCCTCACTGTCATCATATGCATAATACTCGCTGTCCTCGGGTATGTCACGCATGTCTTCAGATGACGGTTCTTTCACAAACAACCTGGTCTCAGCAATCGGATCGGCCCATGTCACGATCTTGTTGTGCTTACGCGGTGGTAGTTCCTTAACCATGGGTTGTTTATTTTGAATTTATTTAAAGCAATAGTAAATAAACACTGTGCATAAAATAACATAACCCTGATTTAGAAGAATGAGTGAGAACAACAAAAATAGAATATACGTATGTTATTGGAAAGAAGATGGTTGTGGAATGTGTTGATATAATTGAGTATGTTACATCTAACCTAGTAATGATATTGAATTGTTAGGGTTTGAGAAAACCGTTATGGTAATATTTGCATTGTATACCGTGTTTGGTTAAGTGGATATAAAGAAGATGGATTAAAACTATGTGTTTACCCGATATACTTTACTGAATCATGACCTTCTTCAGATGTGAGAAAATAAGCAACACTGGGGTTGTGTTTGTAGTATTTTCCAAGATAGAAAAAAATGGTTTTTAAGGTAAAATTTTTCAGGGGTTAATTTTATCACGTATGTCTCACTACTGCCAGAATGTGCTGGAACCTGTGATGAACGGACCTGTTGCGGGTCTCGTGGAGTTCCTCAGAGTTAGAGGAGTGTTGAAGCGAGTGGT